ATAACTTACTCAACATGAAGAATTCTCATTTTATCATGTTCTGTTAAAATTACTAGGGCAGGTCAGTCCCATATTTCTCAAAATCTCCCCCAAAATAATTTGAATTTAAAGAACATGGAGTGTAACTTTCCTACAAGTGTACAATCTCACAATAAGTACAGACGAAAAACTTCTCATTTTGAAATATTTCACTTTTCAGTCTAAGTGCAAAAAAGAGTTGATGTAGCAGGACTCTAACTTGTCTCCGCAGAAAGGTTCACTTACAAGATTGGCCCTGGGTTAGCATCTGAGAACTTGACTGATGAACAGTTAGTTCCCTACAATGATGGAAAACTTCCCATAAATTTTAAGAGTGGTTCACTGTACTTAAACTGTATAAACACTGTAGTTTATACTTGTGTTAGCTTTTTAATCCCTATAACAAGTACCTGAAATAATGAACTTACAAAGAGAAATGGCCTAATTTGGCTGATAGTGCAGTGTTTTGGTCCATGATCATTTGGCCCTATTGTCTTTCAGGCCCACGTGAAACAGTATATCGTGGGCATGAACATGTGGCAAGAGGCCCCACCATCCTTTTCAAGGGCACACATCCGGTGACCTAAAGACCTCCCACTAGTCCCCACTTCTTAAAGTTTCCACAACCTTCCAATAGCACCTGCCTGGAGACTGAGCAAGCCTTTAACATATGTGCCTTTGGGGGCTATTTGAGATTCACGCTATAGCAATATTGAACACCTGATTTCCTTCTGAGAATCTGAAATTCTAGTAACTTTAGACAATAACACAGGCACAAGGTGCTTATATATATATGACCAACCCTTGATTAAAAAAATTAGAAAGTCCTAGAATCCTAGCCTCAGGTGAGCTTTCCTGGTGAACACCATTTACATATTACAACTCCTTGCTGGGAGAATTAAATGCATTCTGTGCAACTCCAGTGGGAAAAGACTCTGAGAAGACTGTGCCTATTTTTCTCCAGACTTCACCTTGAGTGTCTTTTCCCTTTGCCTGTTTTGCTTTGTACTCTTTTATTGAAATAAATGATAACCATGAGCACAACTGTATGCTGAGTTTTGTGAGTCCTTCTAGTAGGTCATCAAATTTGGGAGCTAGTCTTGGGAACACTTGGCACACTCTATCTGTGAATGAGTTTAAAACTAGAATATTCATGAACATATCTGTCTATAAATATTGCTTCATTTTCTCAAGGTGCCAGAGAGGGTATCACTCACACCCAGTAAGACAATGAGGTCTAAATTACAAGTATTCTAAAAAGTATTGCCCCACAAATAACTCTGCCTAATAAGTAATAAAAATAAAGTATTAATGAACTAAATGAACTAATCAGTGAGAAGAGCAAAATCCATATTTTTTCAACAACAACAACAAAAAAATACCTGAGCTTGTTAGTAATATAAAAACAAATTAAATATGACAAAAAGTGTTAATGTTTTTTAAAAACCAGTATATTAGAGTAAAAAACACAATTACCAAAAGAAAAATTAAGAGTACTTAAAGCACAGATTTTCTATTGATTTAAAAAATACTAAAAGAAAATGAAACTTTATTCCTTCTCCAGTACCCAGATCATTCTAAGAATTCACCTCCTACACATGAGTACTGTCTGGTATTTAATCTCCAGATCTCTTTAGAGAAATCGTGTCAGTGCAGCAGACAACCTTAAAAGAAAACTCAAAAAGCTTTTGAAAACAAACTCTGAAATTAGAGATATTTTCTACATTACAGGTACATTAATGAGATATAAGGAAATTCAATGATTGGATAACTATCCAAAGATGATCATGGGAGATATGTTTCTCTTGTTTCTTGATTGATAGTAAAACAATAAAATTCAAAAATAACAGTACACACTATAATTAATAAAATAGGTAGAAAAATCAAGCATCATGTTGCAGGTTTTGCCACTAATTTGTGTCAATGGGTTAGGTGATATCTAATACAAATTTTAAAATCAAAATACTGCACAGAAAGCTTGAGAAAAATTTAATTGAAGGCATTTCAAATTTTAGTTATTTGTTCAGACTGTAATTATTATAATTCAAGTAATTTAAGTTACATGTGAAAGGTTCTCCCATGTCACTCTCCTTCATTTAAGTCCTCTTCCTTCTTTTCTCCCCATATTTTCTTCCTAGTACAAGAGTTTGAAGTTCAGATCTGAATGTGATCAGGTCTTTCCCATAGTTAGGTCCTCTTATCCAGACCCTGGTATAGCAAGCATTCAAGAAATGCTGAAGGGGAAAAGTGATGGTACAAAGAGTTTTAGTATAAATCAAACACCAAGAACTAATCCATTACCTCTCTCTACATCTAGAAGTTTTCCTAGTGTTTCTGCCTTTGCTTCTGTCTGGGAATTCAAAGCATGTCTAGGCTAGGAGGAAAGTTAATATGCGTGTATCCTATGCTTGCTGACTCTCTGATGTCTATGATTCTTCCTACCTACCTTACAATGCTTATCTTTTTCCTGTCATAGGTGGATTCCCTAAATTTGACATCTATAGCAGTTGCACATAAATTGACACCATTCTGGACCCAATAGCCATTCATAACAGAGACAGACATCATGGAAAGAATAACTTCCTAAAGGCAAGATCTCATCATAGTTCTATTTTCCTCCCACTCTTAGTAGCTGAACATGACAGTACATAACTATGGCATTTAGATCATATTAATTTTAGTAATAAATCTTGACTTGAAGGACTGTGTACAAAGTATAAATGCCTGCCCAAGTCATATTGCTTTAAAAAATATGTTAACTTTTCAGTGAATGTCCTCTTCAGTTCTCAATACAAAAGACACTTTTTCGCAGAAGGAGAACCATAAACTCATCCTGAATGATAAAGGAATAAAGCATGCATTATCTTGGTTAAGCATTCCAGGCAGGAATGCAAAGAGTTAGAGGAAGGACTATATACAGCTTGTCTGAAAAACAGCAAGGAAGCCAGATTACTTGGAATGGAGTATCAGACAAAGTCAGACAAGTAAGAGTAGAAAGAAGAGAAAGAAGTTCATGTATGGCCTTTTAGGTTAGTGCAAGAATTTTAGCTTTTCTTTGAATGAGATGAAGGCATTGGAGGTGTTAGCTTATATTTTAGCAGGATCATGCTTGCTGCTGTAGTGAGAATACACTGAAGGGAGTGGAAGGCAAACGTGGCACTAGTTTGGAAGCTATTGCAATAATCCATGAAGGAAATAATGGGGGCTTGTGTTGAGATGGTAGCAGTGGATACACTAAAAAGTTTCAAATTCAGGTTAAGTTTTGAAGGTAAACTAAGAAGATTGCTAACAGATTGAAGGTGGGATAGAAAAGAAAGAAATCAAGAATTTCTCCCAAGTTTAACTATATCAGTCAGAAGAAATGGGTTGTTGAGTATTGTGAGGGGAATGATTACAAAATGAGCATATAAGGAGAGAATATCAGGAATTCTGGTTCAGACATTGTAAATTGGAGATCAGTACCCCTTTTTCCCACTAGGCTTAAACCTTATTTTGAATCTTAGCCAAGACCAAGCCCTTCATTTAGGAGGCTAGATCCTGATTCCCACTATATAGGTATTGGCTAAGGTCCTAATTAAAATACAGATAAGACCACTGGGAAACAAGATTCTGCCTAAAAAAACAGATTTAGGGCATTGCCAGAAGCAAGGGTCCTATTGCAACAACTCATATCCATCCATACATGATTCCCTTTAATACTGATTTTAGCTTGATTTTCCTGGACTTTGATAACTCCCTGTACTCACTATGATTTCCACTGTAGCTCAACGATGGGGATAGTTCCCTTATTTCCACCCAATTCTACCTCCTTCAGGTTTTAACTCTACATACATTTTATCTATGACATTCTTTCTACATTGGAAAACAGGGAAGTGTTTGATCATGTCTCCAGGGAAAATGTAACATATATTGACTCTAAACCATCTTTTAGAAGTTTATATGCCTAGTTTACATAGGAACTTTAAAAGAATGAAAAGAAAGAAGGGAAAAAATACTAGTCAAGTGGTTTTTCCTAGTCATATTTTTTCCAGTGGATTATCTGTTTGAGTTTCTAATCTTTACATGACAACACAATTTAGAATGCAAAGACTGCCCTAGTTTGCAAAGACTGTCCTGTCAAATGATTTCAAAATTATTTGTCCTGTCAAATGAAATCCAAAATGATTTAGGAGTCAGACCTATGAACGATTACAAAATGAGACGTCTATTAATCACTGAACACCTCCAAAGTGTCTCTAAGAATTGCTCAAAGCCCTTCATACTTTGGTTTATTTCCAAACCCAGAGTTGCCATGTTTGGAAAAAAAGTGACACGTTTGATAGTGTATCAGATACACAAAGATATATTTAGCTCTGGTTTGTGGATGTATATACAACAAAGTGTTTTATTCTTGGGGAGGAGTGAGACTAGAAAATGGAGGGAAGCTTCAAAGCCTAATGCAAGAATCAATTAAAAATTAGCTGGCTAACAGCAGATCCAGCTGCTGTACTGGCTACTCCCAAAGTGGTTGTTTTTCATTAATTCTTGTATCATGTTTATTCAAGAATCGTCCTGTTCAATTCCTGAACAACCTGGGAAATAGTTTAAGAGCTATGTTACCACTCCATTGTTTTCTGCTGATGTTTTACAAGGCATTTGGTTTTTACACAGAAATATCTTTCACTCACTCATTTCATCAAATAATACCTGTAATCCCTTTCCACCACTGACCAATTTGAATTGCTTTAAGAATCTCTGAAATAAGATGGCGTTATGATGGAATTTCCATGAAACAATTCTGTAACACCTGTGCCGAAATGCTTTGCTCTTATTTTGTAAGAAATTTCTAAAGTTTAATGACATCTCCTGCAATTGTAGAAAAGAGCTAACATACAGTCACCATGAGGTGGTATTCCAACCACATTTTTCACCAGTTCTTTTTTGCAAAGTATTTTTCTTAGTGATCTAAACGTATGAAAACGGCAATTATCCATAACACAAACCAGAACTGTGAAGAAGATAAAACAGGCTTGGAATCCACCAGAGCTTCACACTATTACTTCTTCCCTTGAGAACCAAGAGCCACATAGCCAGATATGAATTTCTCCTCTAAAAACTGTTAAACGCCTAAGGCTAGAGTGTTGACCGAACTGAGCTGATTTTCCTTTGCGGGTCACTAACTGCCTCCCACCGGATAAAAACAAAGAGCTGGGGGGGGCGGAAACTACAATTCCCAGCAGGCGCCGCGGCAACGTGTTCACTCACGTGTCTCCCAGACTCCGGCAAAGAAATAGCTTTGAGGGGCTTCTGGGAAAGAAGTATGGCGATGCTTGGCGTGAGGTTGGCAATGGGAAGGCTCTTTGAGATGTCAGCGGGGCTTGGGCGCCCGAGTCGAACTTACAGCACCTCCCCCAGCTTTGCAGAGGTGCTACGGCTGCCGAAGAGGCAGCTAACGAAGCTAGTGTACCCACTGCAGGAACTGGAACAGTACCTCGTCCCCGACTCGAGACCCGACCTCCACCTAAGGATCTTCGACCCTAGCTTAGAGGACATTGCGAGATCGGAGAACTTCTTCGCTGCCACCGCCGCGAACCGCATCGAGTACCTCAGCTCTGCGGTCCGTCTCAGCCACGCCCCGGAGTTCCCCCGGCCAGAGGTGAGAGCTTCGGCTGCCCACGGTTCATCACTAGCAAAGTGTTAGCGCGCTGACAGATTCTCGCCTGCCAGCAGACGGTGAAGGCTCGTGCGGGGGTTTTGCTGTCACGTATGTATTTCTTGTTACCTAGCAAGAGATAGTTTCTAGCTTGGTGTGCACGCATATATTATTTTAAATAAGCATATATAATATAAAATTTATTTTAAAAATAAGCATATATGTGGTTTTAATTATTATAATGTGGAAAGCTTTCAGACACTAACCATTCAAAAAGTTAATTCTGTCCTTTTTTCTATTTGAATTCGGGAAAACATGCTGAGTCAAATTAGAATTTAGACAGTGAATAGAAAACATAACAATTTCATGAATGAGATGATACTTCTCAATTTGTAATTTTCACCCAATCCAAATTTCCTGTCATGTGCAGAAATAATAATTACTTATTGATGGCAAAAATGTGGAAGATTTAAACAGCTTTTATCAGTGAAATTCCATGGATGCATTTTAGGCATGTTCTTCAATTTCATAATGCAGTATTTTGTTCCAGTTCTGCTAAAGGCACCTCCAAGAGCTTTGCCCTGCAATTTTTTGAAGTGATATAATGGACTCTTTGTGAAGTAAAACTTATTTTTTTAATTCAGTTTTATTTATATATTAACGGATCTAATGTAGGTAGACCATTTGGAATCTGAGCAAGACTCAGATCGATTTATTTTGAGGGACTGAGCCGGGTTTCAAAAAACTGTCCCGCAAATGTATTGATAACCAAAAATACCCTTACAGATTTCCAAAATGCCCCCCAGTGGGCTGTTCTGATCACATTAGAACAACTGGTTGAAGTTGCTACCCTTTTAGTACACAGCTTTGTTAAAAAGCAGAGTCTTGTGTACTGATGGTTATTACTGAGAATATTTTATTGCATTTCACAATACAGATGAGAAATGCTTAATTGGAAAAAGAAGATCAAGGGCAAAACCACCTCTTAAATTGCACTGTTAGTACAAAGTACTGTGGGAGTTCTTGAGAAAATGTGCTTCCAAACACGTGTTTGTATTTTTGAGCCAGTTGTATTGAAGTAACATTTATATTTTTACTTGAAAAACCTTTATAAATGTGGAACATTTACAGATATTTTTTAATAGCATAGTGTAATTAAAGTTACATAAAGGCTATGGATATAAACGTCCAGGATAAATGTATAAATGTAAATTTCAAATCCCAGTATGTCTGCTCTCTAGCTGTATAATTTTTGGACCAGTGTTTTTTCACATCCATAAAATGGCAGTAATATTACCTACCTCATAGAGATGTTGTTAAAAATACATAAAAAATAGGGATGTTGTTTTAAAAAATTAGAAAGTAATGCTATACTTGCCACTTTGAAATCATTAAATATTAGCCATGTGTTAGGATTTGAGATTTGACTAGCCATAGACCACTCTTTATGTAGCTGGGTGACATAATAATGCAAATACAATATTAAATAAGTATTTGGAGCTCTTGTTGCTCAGTTCTCTTCTTTTTTTCTTGTATAAGGTGTGTTTTATAGGCAGAAGCAATGTTGGAAAATCCTCATTAATAAAGGCTTTATTTTCACTAGCCCCAGAGGTTGAAGTCAGAGTCTCCAAAAAACCGGTATGTTGAATTTTTTTAACAGTCCAGATGTCTGGACTATCTCTTCAAATGACTAATATGAGTAATAAATACTGGAAAGTACAGGAAATTATAATTGCTAAGTACCTAGAGATTTCTTTTAAACAGGTAATAAAGATACTTCATTAATGCATGTGTATTTCTCGGGGAGGCGGGGAGGAAGTATGGCTGGATTTATTTTAGTAGTCTTGCCAGTACAGTGGATCCATGTCTTACAAACTCAGTCCATTCCCAAGGGCTGATTGTAACTAAGTCAATACAGCTGAGATCTGGATGTTTACCTGGGTACACACTATAGATAACAAGAGACAGATGAATCTTCCATTAACCTAATTAACCCAAGTTGTTCCTAACTTGAGGGTCCGCTGTATCTTGAGAAAAGCTTCCTTTGTCCAAATCTTCCAGAGTTACCAAATAAATTGTTTTATTGTCATTCTGTATTTCCTTCTATAAGAGCGATCATCTAGTTGTACATTGATTTTTAAGGGAAACAGCTTTAAAGTTTTTTACTTTAGTTTTCTTATAATCTTTAAATCATACCAACTTATATACACACAGGCATTCTTACACATAAAACTGTCAAGCATATTTTGTTTACCCAGGCCAGATCATGTGCTTGTTACCCAGCCTTACATTGGTGCACTAGCTTTTTGTCATCTTCCAGTTCCTTCTATTTCCTTCTCTTCTCAATGGTGTAGATTCTACCGTGTACTAAGATAACCTTTCCTCAAAACTCACCCCCACTAGCCCTTACCTTAGTATCTATACATAGCAAAACCTTATCACTCACTATCCCCCACCCCTTTCATTGAGTTGGAACCCTTCCATGTCTCTTCTCTAGTTTCTTCCTCCCTACTTCTTCATGTAGTTGATTCTCTGGCTTTATCCCTAATCATTCTTTGCATTGCCTAACCCTTCCAGCCTCATTCCTCCCCTGACTCACCTAGGGAACCAGCTAAACTATCACTTCTAGGCAGGGTGAATCCTCTTCCTATGTAAGAAGAGATGGTTGAAGTTTATTCTTTACATTCCTAATCTGTAAGTTTAAAATCATTTCTGATCTCTAATTCTAAAATCATTTTCTAATAGATGGATAAATAAGCTAAGAACTTAGCTTATTTATAAGATTTTATAAAAATCTTTTCTTTGACAATATTTATTCTAAGATTCAGACAACTGACTTTTTAAATTCTTGTTCTGATTATAATAAATGTCCCATGGCCACAAAAATGTGGTAAACCACCTTTTCATTTATGTCCATTTTAGTTATACAGATATTTTACAACTAAAGTATTGTAGATGCTTTTTAAAAATTGTTTAATAAGAGCATTAAAATCCACATAAACCATACAAAACATCCTGATTTTATGGAAGCAATAATCTAGGTATAAGTAGCTATCAGGCTTTGAATCTAGGTATTATAGAAACCTCTATGACTAATGGTAAGCATTTTAACTTATCAGTGCCATAATTCATTTCTCTTTGAAGTAGAGATAAATAATTCACCAGAGAATATTAACTAGTGATAATCATGCATTTTAGGAAAGGGTGACTTTTTCATGGAGCATGAAATAGTGTAGAATCCAAAATATTTTGCCCATATATTTCTAATACAGAAACTAGAGTTAAGTCATTCTATTTTAAGAAAGATGAATTGGAGGGGAAAAGTAGTATGATCTAAGCTTATCTCCAGCCCTTTCCTTCTATCTTCTTTTCCTGTGTCATGATCAAAATATTATATACTGACTTTTAATATATACTACATATATATATTTAATATATACTATACTGATTATATACTGAGTCTTTTAATGAATATTTGTTGATTGAATAGAAAACATTTCAAGTCATGAAATATAGAAAGGATGTGTTGTAAGTCTGCTTCTATTTTATTATTTATCAGGGACACACAAAGAAAATGAATTTTTTCAAAGTTGGAAAATATTTCATATTGGTGGATATGCCAGGTTATGGCTATAGAGCACCTGAAGATTTTGTTGACATGGTAGAGGCCTATCTAAAAGAACGAAGGAAGTAAGGAAAAATTTTCTTATAAGAGTTACATGTTTAACACCAAAGCGTGTTTTTATCAATTGAGTATTCTACATGTGGTGAACACTTCAATTTTACCAAATGATTTATTTTAGTTTTATTTTATTCTTATAATATTCTGCAGTACAGTATTTAGGACCAAGGTATGATGTATTGTTTTTTGGTTTCCACCTGTGAGCCTGATTTTAACATCAAGGGTTTTCCTACACTGAAAAGATAAAGAATACTTCAGCAGGGTTAGTTTGTTAATTTTTTAAAGCACAGTCTTAGCTGGATAATTTTGAAAATGAAAATTGTTGATTAATGGGATACTAGATTTAAATAAACTTCAGCAAATTGTGATAATTCTTGAAATACCTCAGTCATCACAGCCTCTGAAAATGTCTTTATGTTTTTATCTCCCTATGTAGTCAAGTGACATAAGGAAGGTTCTACTTCAAGAATTGTACAATATAGGGAAAAATGTTAAAAGTGTTTATATAAGTGTCTTGCTCTTGTAGCTTTACATAAAACTGAGATGAAATATCTGCAAAAGAAAATGCAAAATGTGTCAAGTTTCTGTTATGCTAGTCCTAAAGTAATATTTAAAAAGTTAAACATTTCTATGATAATTACGATAAATTGGATTTTAAGGTCTTAGAGAAAGGGGTTCACTCATCTTTATACAAAGTCCACAGCAGTTAAATACATGCTTACTGAAATAAATTAAAATATTTAACAAATTTGCTTATGAAAATAAACAGCATTGAGACTCACTGGACTGTAGGATGAATTTACTGGTGGATTGAGAATTCCTTTTACCTAAATTTTTAAAGTTTGAATTGACAGTTATTCAAAGGAAGATTTCTTAATATAGTAAATGTGGGTGGGAAGAATGATTAT